CACTTAGAGAACTGGAAATTAAGCCAACAACAACAAAACAAAGGTTCTGGACCTTTAGGGTTGTTTTAAGTGTTTGGTAAGTGAAACCTTATTTGTCACTTCCCTTCAGGGATGAATAATTTAGAAGCCCCTACCTTGACCAACAGTACCATTTCATTAAGCCATTGGAGTCAGTTTCTACTATCATTGAGTCTTTTTTTTTTTTTTTTTTTTTTTGAGATTAGAGCCTCACTCTATTGCCCAGGCTGGAGTGCAGTGGCGGGATCTCGGCTCACTGCAACCTACGCCTCCCTGGTTCAAGGGATTCTCCCGCCTCAGGCTCCTGAGTAGTTGGGTTTACAGGCATGCACCACCACGCCCAGCTAATTTTTGTATTTTTAGTAGAGACGGGGTTTTATCATGTTGGCCAGGCTGTTCTCAAACTCCTGACCTCAAGTGATCCACCCACCTCAGCCTCTCAAAGGGCTGGGATTACAGGCATAAGCCACTGCGCCCAGCTATTGAGTCTTAATTTGGAAAGGCCTGAAAGTTGTTCTGGGTTTCCCAGCCAATTAGAGCTTTGGGAATCCACATTTTTGTGGTGGGTGGGTGGTGCATGCCCAAGCCCACTCTACAATTAACAAACATTTATGGTAACTGTTGTGTGCCAAGCACCATGCTAGGTGCTGTTGGGAGACTCAAAAGAAGGAAAGAAATATCCATTATCAGATCCTATGGTAGGTGCTTTTCACATATGTCTTCTCATTACAAAAGAACAAAACAGATTCCCTGTCCTCCAATGAGAGAGGAAGGTCTATCCAGTTTACCACAAAATGAGACAAAACTTGGTAAGTCCTTCAATAAAGATATAACTTGGGACAGGGTGCCAACATAATTCAACAGGGAAGGAATTGTCTTTACAACTGGATATCCACATGCATACAAATGAATTTGAGCCCCTATCTCATCCCATGTGCAAAAATTAACTCAAAATGGATCATAGATCTAAACATAAGAACTAGAACTATAAAACTCTTCAAAGAAAACATAGGATTAGATCTCTGTGACCATGGTTTAAAAAATATTTTTTTAGATATGATACCAAAATACATAAATATCAGAGGAAAAAATAAATTGGACTTAGCAAAATTTAAAACTTTCGTGTTTCAAAGGACATGATTAATAAAGTGAAAAGACAGAAGGGGAGAACATATTTTCAAATCATATATCTAATAAGGACCTTATATTCAGAACATATAAAAAACAACTCAACAATAGTTGTTTAAAAACCCAATTAGGCCAGGTGCAGTGGCTCACATCTGTAATTCTAGCACTTTGGGAGGATGAGGCGGGTGGATCACCTGAGGTCAGGAGTTCCAGACCAGCCTGGCCAACCATGGCCAACATGGTGAAATCCCATCTCTATAGTGAAAATACAAAAATTAACCAGGCATGGTGACACATGCCTGTAATCCCAGCTACTCGGGAGACTGAGGTAGGAGAATCACTTGAACCCAGGAGGTGGAGGTTGCAGTGAGCTGAGATCCCACCATTGCACTCCAGCCTGGGCAACAAGAGTGAAACTCTGTCTCAAAA